GTCATGTCTGCCTTTTCTGTTGAGATAAGAATTGTGGAGCTAAAGCTTCTATTTAAAAATGTGTAATTCACCCCCGCCCTTCTTTTTCTTTTTATAACATACAGATGAGCTTCTTCAAACTTCCCTGTTATCACTGGAATAGAGCCACATGTAGTCCTAGGGAACATTTGCTCCACTAAAATGTTCGTCTTTGTGTTCTGAAAGTGTGATCCTTAGGATCCATGAGAATATTTTTTTTTTTTTTGAGCGATTTTCGCTATAGGGCGTGTGAGCTCGCCAGACAGACAGAGAGAGACATAGAGACAGAAAACGAGAAATCACCCCCCAGGCTGGATAGTCACGCTGCAATCCCTTCTCCTCCATTCTCCTCTCGGGATCTTGGGCACACACGCACACGCGCCCGGGGTGAGTTTTAAGCCACCAGGTCCGGGACGTGAACTGCCGTCGACTACGTGGGAGTCCAGCGACATAGCCATTACGCTAACTGCTGGTTCCCAAGAATATTTTGATAATTTCAGGTAGGATGACTAAAATTTAAAAGGGTTATGTTTATACATTTATGCAACAATAATGTTCAAATATACGGTACCCCTACTTGGTTCATTGTTCCCAAATAATTTGTCAGTTTTGTACTGAAGTTCCTTAAATAAATTTATGTCGATTTTCCTCTATCTGTCCTGTTTTTTCCTCTTACTGAGGAAACAGTTTTTTATTCTCCCAGTAAATGCATACTTCAGTTACCCCCTTATCTGTGGGACACATATTCCAAGACTTCCATTGCATGTCTGAAATTTCAGGTAATACTGAACACTATACATATTCTATTTTTTTCTATGCATACATGCCAATGATGAAAGTTTAATTTATAAATTAGTCACTATAAGATTCACAACAATAATAGTAAAATAGAACAATTATTACAATATATTGTAATAAAATATGTGAATATGGTCTCTTTTTTTGGAGAGGTTTTTGCTATAGGGCGCGTGCGCACACCAGACAGACAGAAAGAGACAGAGAGACAGAAAGTGAGAAATCACCCCCCAGGAGGGATGGCCATGCCGCAATTCCTTCTCCTCCATTCTGCTCTCGGGATCTTGGGCACACACGCGCACGTGCCTGGTGTGAGTTTTAAGCCACGCGGTCTTGAACCGCGGTTGACTACATGGGAGTCCAGCAACAGAGCCATTACGCTAACAGCGGGTCCCATGAATATGGTCTTTTTCTATCTCTGTCTCTTAAAATATGTCATTGTACTGAACTCACTCTTCTTGTGATTATGTAAGAAAATAAATGCTTACATGGTGAGAGGAAGTGAGGTGAATGACATAGGCATTGTGAGGTAGCAACAGGCTGCAATTTACCTTCCAATGGTAACCTCAGAGGAGAATCCCTTGTGTTGGGTGATGCTAGATCATAGAAACTTGAAAAGCCATGAAAATTTCCAGATTCTAATTGACCATGGGGTAACTAACTAAAACTGTGGGAATCATGAATGAAGGCACATCATGCACGTGTGTGTTAAATTTTTGTCTCAGGAATTGCATAAAGATTAGTAAAGTTTAAAGAATCTATTCATCATTAAAGAAAATGACTTTGGAAATCACAAAAGAAATATCCATAGATTACCACTTCATCATTATTTTCAACATTACACCATTTTCCTAAAATCTTTCTCTGTCAAAGCTGCTATTTCTGTTTATTTTTTTCTCTTCAGTGTCAATCTTAATTTTCATTAATGCCACTTTAGTAAAATTTTAACTATATGTTTTTTAAGCTCCATTTTCTTAATTTTGATCATGTCCTATATACCAACACAACCTAGAATTACTTGCATGTAATTTGTTTCCTAAAATATCTGCTCACTTTCTTATCTATTGTAAGCTTTTTAAGGTTACTTGTGACTTACACTTTTGTGAAAAGAGCCATGAAATATTAGGGGAAAATGTGATATTAATTCTTATCCTTGCTCCATGCCAATGGCCTAGGTTTTTTTTCTTTTTCTTTTTTTTTTATTCTAATGACAATTATTAGAGATTGGTGATTTTGGTGATTCTGCTAGCTGAGACAATTAACATTTTTGGGGGGAGAGATTTTTGCTATTGTGTGCATGCATTCTCCAGAAAGACAGAGAGAGACAGAAAGACAGAAAGTGAGAAATCACCCTCCCCACCCCAGGAGGAATGGCCATACTGAAATCCCTTCTCCTCCATTCTCCTCTCGGGATCTTGGGCATGCATGCACACACACACACAGCTCAAGTTTAAGTCACCAGGTCCGGGATTTGAATAGCGGTCAACTACATGGGAGTCCAGCGACATAGCCATGACACCAACTGCTGGTCCCTGAGACTATTTAAACATTATAACCACCCACAAAGAGGGGCCAGCAGGTGGTGGATAGTTAAAGCGGTTTTAATATAGACTTACTCCAAATCTGTCTCTTAAAATATTTTATTGTAGTGAACTCACTCTTGTGATCATGTAAGATAAATAATGCTTACACGGTGAGAGAAAGTGAAGTTCATGACATAGGCATTGTGAGGCAGCATTAGGCTGTGATTCACCTGCCAGTAGTAACCTCAGAAGAGAATCACTTGTCTTGGGTGATGGTAGATCATAGAACTTTGAAAAGCCATGAAAATTTTCTAGATCCTGATTGACCCTGGGTAACTAACTGGGCTGGATTCCACACAGCAGACCAGGCAGTTCAATTCTCATACTTGTAGCTTGAAAAACATACTGGGCACAGGTAAATCTCGTTGGGAGAAGGGCCTATGATGTGTCCACAGTCCCTGCAATGAGGCTTTCCCACTTTCCTTCTCTCTGACTCTGGTGAGCACCCAAACCCTAAACAAAAGATAAACAAATAAACAAACAAACAAATACAAAAATCTAAGGAGTTTACAAAGAAAATTTCAAAATAATCACTTAAATAAATGTAGATGTCTTTATTTAGTATGAAATGACTTTTCTACCACAATAGATCAAAAGCTAATAAATAAAATCAAATCCATCTTTATATTTAATTTTCTGATACTAAGAAAAAAATCTTACAAACCTTAATAGATTTTTTGAATTCAATTTTGTTTTGCTTTTAAAAGCTATCTACTCTAATTACTTAAAAATGTACAAGAATATAGTGCCTGACACATCTAATGATATATATTCTATTTTTCTTTTTTGAGAGGTTTTTGCTATAGGACGTGTGTGCTCACCAGACAGACAGAGAGAGACAGAGAGACAGAAAGCGAGAAATCACCCCCTGGGGGGAATGGCCATGTCGCTATCCCTTCTCCTCCGTTCTCCTCTTGGGATCTTGGCACGCACGAACACGTGCCCAGCGTGAGTTTTAAGCCACTGATTCTGGGACTCAAACCACGGTCAACTACATGGGAGTCCAGCGACATACCTGTTATGCTAACTGCTGGTCTCATAAATTCTATTTTTTAAATATTTTAAATTTCATGTTCTTTTATACATTTAATCACATTATTTAGCTTACAAATTGAATCATCCAGCCTATTCCAGTTTTATCAAAACTATCAAATTTTCTTCAACAGATAATACCACATTTCTTTGTCCAATTAATGCTTTGCCTCTCTATTTTCCTTCTAAATGTCCTTCCTCAGACTCTACTCTTTCATACACACTATATCTGGTATTCACATCCATTTACTTTGTAAATTCTATTTTTTAAAAGAGATTTTTCTAATGGGTATGTGGACATTCTGAGAGACACAGAGAGACAGAGAGATAGAGAGTGAGAAATCACCTCCCAGGGAGAATGGTCATAGTACAATCCCTTCACCTCCATTCTCCTCTCGATACTTTGGTCATGCATGCACACGTGTCCAGTGTGAGTTAAGTTGCTGGGTTCAGATCTCGAACCATGGTCCACTATGTGGGAGTCCAGTGACGTAAGCATTATGCCATCTGCTAGTCCCCAAATGATATAAATCTATGATCAAATTTTTTATAATCAAAATATTAAAAGAAAGGCACTGGCTCAAAATTTTATCATGATCATTATTGGTATTTTCCCATTTCTATCATCTATGAGAGTGAAATAGAGACAGAGACAGGCACCCGCAGCAGGATTTCAAAACCGCAATCTACTCTCAGTCTCGGTCAACCTATAACATGAGTACACACTGGCCCATCATAAAAAAGGAGGCCCCAAGATTTGAACGCAGAATATTTTCTATGACGGGTCCAGTTTTATTACTGCTGAACAGC